TGGCCAGAGGTCGGGGGCGCAGTGAGGGGAAGCCTCACCTGACCTAAGAAGGCAGCCGGCTGGCAAAGTGACCCAGATTTCAGTGGAAGCCAGAGTGGAGGAGAGCAGTAACTACGAAAGTGTAATCTTGGGGAGATCCTTGGGTTTGCCACAGGATATGGGATGGGGAAGGCTGACACAGGTACTTTTTAAATTAAAGGAGTGAAAAAGAATAGATACATGTACATGTATAACTGAATCACTTTTCTGTACACCTGAAACTATCACAACATTGTTAATCAACTACACTCCAATATAAAATAAAAAGTTAAATACATAAATTAATTAATTAAAGGAATGAATGCCCCCAAAACGGATGTGGATCACCTAGGAAACAGTTACACTACTGAGTGTCATCGGGCCCTTTCCTTCCAGGACACGAAGTGCAAGAGGGTGAGAGAGGTTAGGTTGAGCTGAGGTCAGGAAAAGCCACTGCTACCTGCCTGCATCGAGCCCTGAGGACCCCCTTTGTCACTCCCTGAAATCCAGCTTCTGCCCCTGTCTGTCAGGCATGTGTGTGTCTGAACACTAAGTCTGGATAAAGTTCAAATTCCCTTTCATGGGACTCCAGGGCCCGCAAATTACCAGTGATATTGAATAATCCCTGACCCCTAAGAAGGCTTGGAGCACACAGGGAGGATCCTCACGGGGGGCCACCACACCCTGACGCCTGCAGAGAGCTGAGTCTCAGCTGAGCTGCAGCCGGGAGACACGGGCACAAGAGAACTTGGGGTCACTTAGCTGCCCCCGTGCAAGCAGGAAGAGATCCTGGCCTTTCCTGCTTTTAGAAGTTCTCCTTTCTCCCCATCCCCAGCCCACTGCCAGCCAGCACACACAGATGTTTCAAGGGAATGACTGAGCCTACCTTGGCGAAGAATGTTGACAGGTGCAAACATGGGCAGCGGGCACGCCATGCCCAGCTTCCTCGGCCCAGGCTTACAGCACTCATCCTTTACCCGCAAGCCCCCAAATCTGTCACCATACCACTCTTGGTCTGCAGGCTCTTCCCTAGTCTCCAAGAGTCCTCAGCTTTTGGAGGGTATAAGAATTACCTGGGGCGATGGTCAAGGATGCAGATTCCGGGCCCTGGGCACGGTTAGGATTTTGAGGCTGTGGACACCCTGGGAGAAGCCCAGCTCCAGTGCTTGGTCTTGGTTACCCAGTGTGCTAACTCCAAGCTCCCTGCCCTCCAGGGTCTTCTGGAGCCATTCATTTTTCCTTCTACATGGCCTTTGGATCCTTAAATTCCCTTCAGCTTCATCCTTTCTACTTCTGGTGTATTATTGTTTTAATAGTCACCTATTTCATCAATTTAGCCAAGGGCCCTCTTTTTTAGTTTCCCTGATCCCTTCATTTTTCTTTTCTAAAACCCTCTTCTAGTTCCTCATAATTCTGCCCTTCCTCCTGCTTTCTCACTCCACTTAACCTTCTAGAAAAAAAATGACCTTTGTAATAGTCCCCTTAATATAGACCAAAAAGACCAAAATAAAACACAATTACATTTTAAGGGAAACTTCTCTTTATTATCATTAGAATGTTTAAAATACCAAAACCTCACATTTATATAGTTAACCAGAGACCTCTAGGCCAGAAGGGAGCAGTGACAAACAATCTACTTCAAAATTCTTGCTGTGGCCAAATCATGTTCTCTGTCAATGAGCGCCACTCTCAATTTGTTGCTGCGTGCAAGTTTCCTCTAGTTGTGGTGAGCGGGGGTTACTCTTCACTGCAGTGCGCGGGCTTCTCATTGCGGTGGCCTCTCTTTGTTGCAGAGCACGGGCTCCAGGCGCGCGGGCTTCAGTAGTTGTGGCATGTGGGCTCAGTAGTTGTGGCTCGCCGGCTCTAGGGCGCAGGTTCAGTAGTTGTGGCGCATGGGCTTTAGCTGCTCCGCGGCATGTGGGATCTTCCCGGACCAGGGCTCGAACACGTGTCCCCTGCATTGGCAGGCGTATTCGTAACCACTGGGCCACTAGGGAAGTCCCTGAAATGAAACTTCATTCAGTGAAAGGATTCTGCTCTAGCCGTTTAATAGTTAACAGTTAATAATAAAAGACTTCTACTTTAGCAGTTTCATAGTCACCCACATGCTTTATTTTACATGAAAAATTAGATGCTTTGAAGATTTATATTTACTAACTGGGGGGAAGTAAGTGCTTAAAATATATTGTAATTGCAGGAACAAAAATCATTTCTAGGTATACAATTGAAGTTTTAGGTTCAAATCTCTTTTTACTCATTCAAATCCTTTTGGTAAGGGTCGGAAAGCTTCAAAGGCAAGGAGGGCAGAATAATGAACGGAACCATTTAAAGCCCGATGAGAGAGGTAATGAATGATACTTGAATCATTTAATGGTTTGGTTTTTAGTATATCTTCTACAAATGAGGTGTTGGATAGTAGTGCTTAAATTCGGCTTCTTTAATAAAGAGCTATGCATACTTTTATAGATAAGAGGAAAAAGCAATGGATCTAATCTCCACTCTGGATAAAGCAGCCGCCGTAGAACCCCCTAACCGGTACGGTATGACTGCCACCTAGTGGCGGCATATCCTCACCACAGGAGTCCGGCCCAGTGGAGGTGAAGGAGAGGGGAGGCCCGAAAGCTCCCCGATGGCAGGGCTGATCGGCAAGTTAAAGCACCCGGTAACTAGAATAAAGTTATATTTTTCTGTCATGTCAACTCTTACAGCTTCTATCTTAAGGTCTATTTTAAGAAATATACTTTTATTGATTCAGTTTCAAAAAGAGTTACATAAGGACATGAAACCTTGGTTTTCACTTGAGAGTTTATCTTTATTCCATGCAGGCTCCAAATGGACAAATAATATATATCATATGTGTGTGTGTGTGTGTGTGTGTGTGTGTGTGTGTGTTTGCGTATCATATATAAAATATAAATTTGTATGAATTTAATTCTAGCCCAGAAAGCATTTTGTGACTTAAAAACACTGAAGTTTGCTGGCTTTGGAATCACTGGAATCAGTAAGGAAAGAACCGTGAGCTAAGTCAGATTCACTCAGCTCCACCACTGACCAGCTGCCGGACCTCAGACAAGTACTTTATTATGTTCCAACCCATTTGCCCAACGTGTTAAACAGGGGAGTTGAAATAGATTCTCTCTAAGATGCTCTCCATGAAAAGTTCTAAGACCTCTCCTGTGGATTAATGTCCACCCTAAGGCGGACCAAACATTTTGAAATTATAGCTGAGCTACTCCATTCCCTCTGCACTCCCCATTGCCACTCCCACAGCATTACGGGTGATTTCAAGGCTGACCCCTTTTCATAACCTGGTTCTGCCCTGGAGCCTCCAGAGAAGCTAGAATATCTCAGAAATATCTCAGCTGGCCAGCTGGTCAAATAATTTTTGCTCTTTGCTATTTGCCCCTATTAGTTAGTACAGCAATCTTTTCAAATGAACTCAGACCAAGACAAAAAGTATTAAAATAAGGCCCACAAGATCTAAAGGTGTGTAACCTGACATAGTTTCACTTTGTTGAGGTAGCAGCTAATTTTTGCAAGCTGGAAAACAAAAGCTGGTGTGTTTGAGGTTTCACTTCAGTCCGTGCTTTCACTATTCAGCAATCAGTGCAAAGACAGTTAAGCATGACCTTTCCATACAGACGGTGCCACCCTTCACCAGCTCAAAGAGCACCTGTCCCGTTAACCCTCGAAGGCAGATGTTTGCTTATTTTTGAGACCTAGTCTGTTAAAATGGCAGAGAGCGCTGAAGTAAGGACTTTGCGGAAGGGAACATAATATCACTTAATCTGCTTGCACTACTTGAGAACAAAGTCATACTGCCGTTCTAGGAAATTAGTCGGAGACACATAAAACAAAGCACTCTTAAACCACATGTACACGTGCTTTCTTAAAATTATTACAAACACCGCTCTATTTGAAGGCATATTGATCACAGCAATAAGAGGTGTTCTGTTGAATGCAATGGTCCCCAGCTTCAACACAGAGCATAATGCGTACTGCTTGTGGGCGGGAGAGCTTCAGCAACCCTGCAGGATTGTTCCAGAAAGTCCGAATATCTCAAAGTTTAAAGGACTCTTAAAAGCGATTTCCTCCAAATACAAGAATCCTTGTATCAGTAGCTACAAAGGCAGGGTAAATGAGGGGGTGAGAGCAATCCAACCCCAAGGATAGCCAGTAAGGAATGAGAAACAATGATAAACCCCATGAGAAGTCAGCCTGCTTTTGTTATCACCAGCCACCAGCAATTCTGAACGACCTCAGTGATAAGATGCTCCTCTTGGCAGGGGTAGGCCATCCCCACTCCCCAGACCCACCCTACCCCATCCCCTGCTTTCTACCCTATCTGGCCTCTGATTTAATGTTAGGTGACTAAGAGCACGCTCCTTTGTAATTTTTTAAAAAGAGGTTTTCTACTTCATATCTCCTAATTATCGAAGTGATATTTTATATCTTAGAAGATACACAAACAATATTAAGAAGGATTTAAGAAATTGTCGGGCTTCCCTGGTGACGCAGTGGTTGGGAGTCCGCCTGCCGATGCAGGGGACGCGGGTTCGTGTCCCGGTCCGGGAAGATCCCACATGCCACGGAGCGGCTGGGCCCGTGAGCCATGGCCGCTGAGCCTGCGCGTCCGGAGCCTGTGCGCCGCAGCGGGAGAGGCCACAGCAGTGAGAGGCCCCAGTACCAGAAAAAAAAAAAAAAAAAAAAAAAGTCATGCAGTGTCACCTCTACCCCAGGCCTAGCTGACACCACCACTTGGCTGCTTTGTATTTCTCAATGACTAAAATTTACCTTTATGAACTATTTCCTGAGCGTCTGAGAGCCTACACCTTGGGTCTGCTGATGCTATGTTTTCAGAACTTTAAATCACCGAGGAAACCATATTTTCCGTAGGAATGCTTAGGAAAGTAAAATCCAACGTGTTTATATCCTTCCTTTCCCCTTCAGAGAAAATCCTTTCATTTGTTTCTGGTTTTCTGCTCTCCTGAGAGAGGAAGGGATTAGAGTGAAGTTTATACCTGGAAGTTGGCGAGTTATAGCCGCATACAGACAGCTTTATCCAATAAAGAAGCTAGGACTGGTTATCTAGACGAGAGAAGAAAACGAAATAGGGTCCCAGTTAATTCAAGACAACCAATTGCCTTGGCCTTTGATACTGTAGTAAGTGATCACATAATTGTGGCAGAGAACACAGAAGTGGCAGCTTGAAATAAAACTCCAGCTGACATACTTTTAAAAGCAATATGGCAGCTGTGAGCTTGCCACAGAATTAGGAGGAGAGCTGGAAGACTTCCCTTTGGAAAGCCGGCCTGCAGCTGAAAAACAATGGTTAGTTCTTTCTTCCTCTGCTGTTCCTCTGTTCCAATTTAATATGAAATGATAATTTCTTCTTTTTCATGGGTGGGGAGAACAGCCAGTGGGAAACAGAGTAAGGGTCCCTCAACCCCAAGCTGTGGTAACCTCAGTCCATGGTAATCCCAAGTCATGGTTTCCCTTTACAGAATGTATCCTTTCTTTCCCACCAGCATCAGTGATGGAGAAGAGATCATGCTTATGTAACAGTTAACAGTTAACCAACCAAAGGAGCTAAAGGACCATTCCCTCTGTGCTGTGAAGAGCATGAGTAGAGCTGCCCTTGCCAGGTAAGCAGGTGTGAAGCAACGCTGTGATATGTGAGCTTTCTGTAGAGACGAATAAATTAGGAAAAGATTTAAAAGGGTCTTCAACCCGGAGGAATGGATAAGGAAGATGAGGTACGTATATACAATGGAGTATTAGCCATAAAAAAGAACAAAATAATGCCATTTGCAGTGACATAGGTGGACCTAGAGTTTGTCATACTGAGTAAAGTAAGTCAGACAGAGAAAGACAAATATCATGTAATATCGCTTATATGTAGCATCTAAAAAAAGGGTACAAATGAACCTATTTACAAAACAGAAATAGAGTCACAGATGTAGAAAACAAACTTATGGTTACCAAGGGGGAAAGAAGGGAAGGGATAAACTGGGAGATTGGGATTGACATATATACATTACTATACATAAAATAGATAACTAATAAGGACCTACTGTAGAGCACAGGGAACTCTACTCAATACTCTGCAATGGCCTATATGGGAAAAGAATCTTAAAAAGAGTGGATATATGTATATATATAACTGATTCACTTTGCTGTACACCTGAAACTAGCACAACATTGTAAATCAACTAGACTCCAATAAAAATTAATTTAAAAAAATTTTAAAAAGAAAAAGTTTCTTGAACAATTATAAGAAAAAAAACCACATGGAACTATTTCTTTTGAAAAAGTTCTTCTTAGAGTAGTCCCAAATGTTAGAAATTCAAATCTGGGGAATTCCCTGGCAGTCCAGTGGTTAGGACTTGGTGCTTTCACTGCTGGGGCCCAGGTTCAATCCCTGGTCAGGGAACTAAGATCCTGAAAGCTGCGTGGTATGAAAAAAAAGAAAAGAAAAAAAAGAAAAGAAAAGAAAATCTGGACAAAATAGCTCTCCCTGAAGCCTCTTTATGAGAAAATTGATGATTTGAGTGTGATAGTCATCCCGACGATGACTATCTTGATAACATTTATAACATTTCTTGAAAAAAAAATATTTTTCCAACAAAAAATAAGATGTTCCAAAATTGTTAAAACGTTCGATTGTTTGTGCCCATTTCTATGTGCAATACAGTGTGGAAAGAATTCAGTTCCATGAACAAGCATCATTGAAAAATAGAATAATGAAATAAATAAGAAGTGAACTATGTGCTTTTAAAAAATATTCTTTGTGCTTGTTTGCAAAGTGTTTGAAAGCAAAAGTAGCAGTTTCTTTAATTAAAAGAAATAATGTAGCATGTGACCAATCTAATATAAAAAATATTACCAAATATTTTATGACTGTCCAGCATTTTACTGAAACCATCTAGTAATTCTGCGGCACTGGTTCCCCTATGACGCTGAAAGCATGCGGACTTAGTGGAGCAGAGGGGTGGGAGGGGTCCTGGGGAACACGGAATAAGTGACAAAAAGAAAGAATGACATCAAAGGAAAGGACAACAGATGGGATATCAAAATGAGAAAGGGAGGGGACAGGAAGATTGAAAAGGGGATGAGGGTCATACAGAGTGAAGTAAGTCAGAAAGAGAAAAACAAATACCATATGCTAACACGTATATATGGAATCTAAAAACAAAAAAAAGGTTCTGAAGAACCTAGGGGCAGGACAGGAATAAAGATGCAGACGTAGAGAATGGACTTGAGGACATGGGGAGGGGAAGGGTAAGCTGGGATGAAGTGAGAGAGTGGCATGGACATATATACACTACCAAATGTAAAATAGGTAGCTAGTGGGAAGCAGCCGCATAGAACAGGGAGGTCAGCTTGGTGCTTTGTGACCACCTAGAGGGGTGGGATGGGGAGGGTGGGAGGGAGACGCAAGAGGGAGGAGATATGGGGATATATGTATGCATATGGCTGATTCACTTTGTTAAACAGCAGGAACTAACACAACATTGTAAAGCAACTATAAAGATGTTTAAAAAAGTAAAAAATAAAAATATGTTTTTTAAAAAAAGAAAAGGGGATGAGGGTTGTCTTAGTAAATTCTGCTACTTGCCTAAAAAAAAAAGTTAAGCAAAAGAACAACCAGAATTTGCTTAAACAGGAACGGAATAGATACTAAAACCCTGAACAAAGAGTTGTAGAAAGGAAACAAGAACTCTGCCCGGCTCTCCCCCTATCTCTGCTGTGTTCACATTCAGCACCTCCCTGGCCAGGACTGGCCTCTGCTGCAAGTGGACACTGTGCTTCTCTCCGAACAAACTGTAGCCAAGAGAATTTTAAACATTGATGTACCATAATCAGAGCTCAGTCTCCACTCAGGAATCTCTCCCTGGCAGTCAGAGTAAGCCAGGGTCTCACACATCACTGACAAACAGATCATAGGGAAGGACTGTAAGAAAAGCTGGAATAATGCCGGGTGCCGACCAGCCTGTCCTCTTGGAACAGCTCTGCTATCTTGGTTTCCTATAAAGCGGTCTCCTCAAACTTTAACTCGCACAGGGGTCAACTTGGGGATCTTGTTTAAATGCAAATACTGGTTCAGAGGCGCTGGGATGAACCCAAATTCTGCATTCTAACAAGCTCCTGGGGACCCTGCTGGTCCTCAAGATGCACTGGGAGAAGTGAGTTATAGAGCACCCAGGTGAACCTTGAGTGAGTCAGGTGTGACAAGAGGGAGAGACAGAGAGAGAACAGGCGAGAGAGAGAAGCATACTCTCTCCTGCAGGCTACATACACAGAACACAGGAAGCAACATATGTTCTTTGTTCATTCATTACGGTACTTTGTCCAATTCCCCAGCATTCAGAGTGATGACAGTTTCCCTTCTGGACTTTTCGGCAGCTGGCATTCTCTACACATGAGTCTGGACCCAGAGCAATACCAGCTGTGAATAAGCCCAGGGAAGGAAGTGGAACTCGAAGACTCTAGGAGTTCTAACCTGCCCTGTTAGCTGGGCACCCGGCTGGCCCCCCTGTAGCTTTTCCTACCTTCTTCTCACCCAATCCTTCTTCCACGGAGGAACGATAATTGTCTCTGAATCGTGCTCAACCTGAACGTCAAGGGTATGCTGGAAAGCTTAGGTGATTGAAGCAGAACTATTGAGAAAGTGCTAAAAACCAGACTTCCTGATGGAAGCTAGTGGCTTGAGTCTGATTTCTTTACCCCTTTGAAAGATGTTCCAGATCCAGAAGCTTCCTCGACGTTCCTTATGTTTGTGTGTGAGACGGAAGGTGTAGGTGATGGAGTGCCTCCTGGACAAACCGGAGGCAAATAGCACTAAGGAAAAACTATGCTTTGGCCTCACGAAGAGAGTTGGAATTAAGAGTCACTCTCAGTTGGAGCAGTTTGATCTTTATTTCCTTTGCCAGAAGCTGCGTGCGGCACGATGCAGCGTGGGTGTCCTCAGAGGTGCTACCTAGCTTTGCATGTTTCCTGACGGAGGCAGCACTCCTGCCAGCACCTAAGTGGGGAGTGTCGGTGGGAGGAGTAAGCAGGTTTCACTTCCTTGCTGGTTGGAGACTCAGCTACAGCTGTCTTCTCTCTCAGCGGGGAGGGGAGGGCGTGAGGGGCAGCAGAACGCGTCTCTCTCTGCTTCTCACCCAGAGCACCTCGCAGGGGCTTAGCGGACGCGAGGGGAGCGAATGGGCAGAGCAGAATCTCCAGAAGGGAAAATGAGCATCCAGGATCCTTCAGATCTGTGGAGCAGGTCGGACGGAGAAGCTGAGCTGCTCCAGGACTTGGGGTAAGTGGGCAGGTCCCCTTTTCCAGGCGTTTATTGGGTGAACCTTAACTCCTCACCCCTACGCAAATGCTCATCTTGATGAACGATTCTCTTTAGCTCTCCTTCTCTCTGACACCCCAATCTTCTATCCTTTCCACTTTGCTCATCTGTGTCTGTGGGGGCCCAATTCCATTGTGAAAGTATGGATTACCTTTCCACATGTGAAAACAAGTAGGTGGAGAAAATGGGACAAAAAAATCAAATGCTGGACGTTCTTTGAGATTTTAGGGACAGAATTGGGCTGTAGTCGCGGTTGTTGCTGGGTTTCCTTGTTATTGATCTGGTCTATGAATAAATGTGCTATAAAAAGTGCTGAGCTCCAAGCTACTGACAGTAAGAGGGCTGCGCTGCTGGTGAGATAAACAGAAAGCCTAGACCCTACAGTAAGGGAGAGGGACTTTTTCAAAAGAGAACGAACGAGGAAGTGTCTACAGCAGTGTCCCATGTGTGTTTCTTTCTCCTGACACTGCATTTGTGAGCTCTTGTATGCATGTATGTCTTTTAGGGCAACTTTGAGCCTTTTAAGTACTAACAAGTCAGGAAGAGGATAAACACTCTGCCGCAGACAGGTTACACATTTAGGTAGGAAGAGGCACTGTAGTCCTGTCTTTAAGAAGGGACCAGATGAGACAACTCATCAGGATACTTAATAAAAGAAGCAAATGTTACACAAGAGAGGCGTAGGGGATTTCCTACAGAAACTGCTCCTTCCCCCTGAAGCACCAGGAATAGCCTGGTGAGGCTGATTTTGACACCTGTGATTCCTAAGAGGCGAGACCTGCACCTGCTGTCTCACTAAATAGCTCTAATCTTCACAAACACTCAAGAGCTGTGATCATCTCCATCTCACAAAGGAAGAAAACAAGCACCAAAGGGATTGAATAACTTGCCTGCGGTCACACATCAGTTACCAATCAGGATTCCAATCTGCCAAGTCTACTTCCTTATCCAGAGAAAAACTAAAATAGGGATGAAATCTCTCTGCGTCAAGAATGCAGAGATTGTATTTTGGGGTGTTGTAAGCGTTCTCAATAAGTCCTGTCTTTAGATTTTAAACTTGAGGTCTCAGAATTGAACTTTACCTTCATAAGGTAAATCAAACGTAACAGCTAGACTTTTCAGTAAAGTAAACTCCCCTTATGGGGAGTCAGAGCTCCAGGACACCTCTAGCCTTCTAGACCAAATCCCCAAACTGCAGAGGTAAAATGTTCCCTGAGCATCCAAAGCGGTGTCACAGAGTCCAGGCACTAGAGCTGGACCCTGGGCTCTCACTTAGATCCGTATGAAATTATTAAACTATCATTCTTTATGTGTTTGGTTATGTGGATTCCCAGCCCACGATCGGTAGGAAACCACAGAGGAGAAGAGAGACAAAGGAAATATTCAGCTCTGGTCCTTTAATTCAACAATCTTTGAGCCTAGGCTCTGTGCTTGTGTACCCTTGGCACTCACTTGGATGACAAAGATGAGCTAAACACTGTCTCTTCTCCCCACCTTAGTGCCCGTAGCAGGAAGCAACCTTAGGTAAAACCCACTAGGAAACAGAACTGTGTCTTCCCTCCATGTGCAGAGATGGACATTCAATTCAACCCAGAAACACCCCAAAAAGGTGCTTTTATGTCCATACTTCACTATTTCATAAAGTCTGGAAATGTCTTAAACATTGGAAGATGGTTTCTGTAACAGGCAAGTTACAGTGGTCTAGGGAAATTGCTCTACGGTTGCGGTTCTTAACCTTGGCTGTGCACTAGAATTACCCAAGGAGTTTTTTAAAATTCCTGCCCAGGCCACACACCAGACAAATGACATCAGTATCTTGGGAGTGAGCGTTTTCTTTTTAAACTTTCCAAGTGATTTCAGAGCAAGACCGAGGTTGAGAATCACTGCATAGAATAGAAATCCAACAGAAGCACTGAGTAAATGTGCCCTTATTTGTTGGATACGTACCTGAATCTTAAAGCCATTAATAAACGTTGACATTTCGTCTGTGGGTTTGGGAGCATTTTGTTTAACAATTTTATTGAGGTATATTTTATAGATCATAGAGCTCACTCATTTCCAGTGTACAATTCAGTAACCTGTAGTGCCTTTAAAGAGTAGTACAGCCATCACCATAAATCAATTTTAGAACATTTTCATCCCCCCAGTAAGAAACCTCAGAAGCATTTTTTTAAATATACTCAGTGGTGTGTTAGTTAAACCCCCTGGGTGAGGGATAGCCCTGATTCAAGAGTCTGCCTGTTTCCCTGGTATAAATACTCCAATCACAGGCATTTTCAAGCTGCCAAGGGTTTAACTACAAAATTCCTGAGAATTTAATAATGGACTTGAGTTAGTACTTGTGCCTCTGGGACAATCCTGATATACCTCTCATAGGTCATAAGATCTGAGCAAACTTGAAAATGACCTGTTGCCTCTGGCAGAATTCAGAATAAAATGAAACTTCTTCTTTGAACCTCTAGGCTACTGGTTAGGTATAATCTACCCCCAAACTTCTAATTAATTCCGTTTTTAAAACGCTCCCTAAAAACAAAATGATTTAAAGCAGTTGATAGATAAAAAGTGGCTGGTTTTAATGCCTTCATTTTGAAATCGTTTTTAATAGGTTATCTGAGTAGTTAGGTAGGTTCTTACCTTTGTATTTTTGATAGATACAGACAGACAAGGTGGTGGTTAAATTAAAGAGATGGGATCTTTGTTCTTTGGTCCCATTTTTCTTCAGGTTCTGGCATCTGTAAGCTCTGCAGATTAAACCCTGCATTGCAGCAAATCCATCCCCTGCCTTTCTAGGACACACACGACTTGCTCAGAAGACATTCTTTCTAAAGTACCTAAATCAAGCAACTCAGATGCTTTTCCGTGTCTCACATGCAGAGTATCAGTTTAAAGACACTTAGTTTCCTTCATCCTAAACATATTAATGCTTCCAGAAGCAAAGGGGAAATAACACAATTTGCAATGGTTGCTCAGCTTCACGTACACGTTGGCCGAATGGGATGGGGGAGGGAGGGGCACAGGCTGTGGAGAACGGTCGATGAGAAGCAGGAGGTGTACTGGGAACAGAAGGCAGGCTGTGTGTGGCTTCCAAAATGAAGCAACGGGGCTGTGAAACAAATAGTGAATATTTGAGGCACCCCCTAAGGAACAAACTAGGATAGAATTGCTAATCAGTTAATAATTGATGATTCCAGCAATTCTTTGATTCTAACAAAGGTTCCTACAAAACCATGTAGTTTTGTATGTAACTACAAACTACATAACTACAGACACAAAAGGGATACTGTGAAATAAAAATATTTTAACATATCTTTAAATATTCAAATTATCTACTCAGACATATTCCTTCAAGCAAGAAATATAATAAATGTTCCCTTTTTTATATATTTTCCCGTCTCAAATTTTATAAGGAAGTGTCTGTGTTTGGCTGAGCTGTCAGAGTCAAGAAAGTAGACTCGAAGCTCTGGCTATTTAAGTAAATTAATTAAAAACTAATTTCTCTGCTGCTTCCCATATAAGAGAAGGTTGGAGCAGATCAGGGATCAGCAAACTTTTTTTGTCAGAAGCCAGGTAATAAATATTTTAGGCTTCACAGGCTGTATGATTTCTGCTTCAGCTACTCACATCTGTCATTGTCATGCAAAAACAGCCGTAGATAACACAGAAACAGATGACCGTGACGGTGTTCAAACAAAATATTATTTAAGCACGTTGAAATTTGAATTTCATACAATTGTCACGAGTCATAAAATATTCTTCTTTTTTTCCCCTAACCACTTAAAAACGTAAAACCATGCTCGGCTCACAGTCTACACCAAAACGTGTACCCTGGTAGGAACTGGCCCTCACATGGTGGTTTGCTGACGACCCAGGGGATAAGTAACAATCACCAAAGCGCGGTCTTATGAAGAGGCAGACATTTTGCATTCAGGAGCTCTGGCCTTCAAAAGGTATCTACGTTCCAGCTTTACACATGAGGAGACTCATTAGCAGAGAAATCAAGCTGCCTGGAGTCCCAGAGAATCTGGGTCCCAAGGCCATGCTTATTCCACCAAACCAGGTTGACCTCCTGTTGTGAGGGTCAGTGGCCGGCACCAGGTCGTTCACAGAGTTTGGCCTTCACAATAACACCATCAATACAGTATGATTATACTCATCTTATAGATGCAGAAGGCGACTTCAGATCAGTCAAGTGAACTGTCCAGGTCACAGACCTCATAGGTGGTGCCCCGAGAGTGCCTAGGCATGTATGCCAGAGCTGACTCTCTCTCCACCGATGGAAGAAGGTACACCTTCTAAGAACCGCAATTTAGTAAGGGTTGGATGCTCACCATGTGCCAGGCACTATTTTAAGCCTTTTGCTTGTATGACTTATTAAATTCACACATCACTGCCAGGGAGTTACTACCACTAGTGACATTTCTGCTCACAAATGAGAAAAATGAAGGACAGAGCTTTTATCACATGCTTAAGATGACACATTCATAAACCTTCAAATCCAGGAGTTTGGCCCCAGAGCCCACAGGCTTCTCCACTAACACAACTTCCTGCTTATTATATCAGCAGTTAGTGCTAGTGAGAACTGAGAGAAAAAGTAGTTCTGTGATTGCTACCACCAACACATTTTTTTACTAAAAGATATTCTTTCACATTCTTCACATAACAGACATGCATATACAAAGCCAGATCAATATCCTAATTCATCAGAACTTATTTGAATTGTGTGTAGATTCCTTTCTTCGGGGCTAGGCAAATCGAATAGGCTCAGAAAAGCGTAGTAAATTCAAAGCTTTAAAGGAAGCTGTTTACAGAGCTGATACCAAGTAGAGCAAAAAAGCTTGTTCCTCTTCTGGGCACAATTCCGTAATCTTGGACTCTAAAAATGGAAGGTGATTCTCTTGTGGCCGAGCAAGAGTATGTAACTAGTGTACAGTTTGATCTTGCTTGGACTCAAGCGAATTTCC